CCTGTTGTTCCTTTTAAAGGCTAGCTATCAGATCATCAGTGATACTGAGGGGTGTACGAGTACTGCCTTCTGAACTGGCAAGCCATGTATTTCGACATTTTTTTTCCACGAATCTTATCCCCTTCCTAACCCGTAGCACAAGTGACTGCTTGAAGACAGTTCCCGCTATGAAGTGTAACATGTAGCAGATGCTCAGTCATGAACCAGTAGCCCATCAACATTAATCAGTAGAGGAAGAAGGGTAAAAAAAAGTTTGGGAAAACTCTGAAGAGAGACTGAACAGAGAGGCTAAGCAGTGGGCGCCTGGGCACCCAAGAACCTGAATGGCAAACGAACATTTTCGGACAGCAGGAGAGCGGTCGCGTCGCGGTTTGCATGGGTCGCGTTGAATCTGGCGCGAGGGAGAAGATTTCACAAGAAAATTGGAAGTTGAAACATTTGATATATTTAAAGGTGAATGAATATGTACACTCTAGTTCGCTGCGGATGGTTGAGGGTGTCTGGCAGTACGAGTGTGTCACCCCATCAAAGCCGTTCTCTGCCTTCTTGTTTAAGCGCGCATGTGACAAAAAGTGGTAGAAAACGAGTAATACGAACGATATGATACAATCATATCATTTGCTCGCTTTAACAACTGGTGGAGCACATGTTTGGCACCGCGCCTAACCCATCCCGCCTGACACGCCTAACCCTCCGCAGCGAACTACAATCTAATTCCACATATGTTCCTTTCTCCGTTGACCGTTCATGGAGTCACTTAGATAGCTACAGTCATAGACATACGTAGCTATTCAGTGAGAAGCGTACACGGATTCCAAAGCCTCTGTCGTACGGAACATTATGTCGGGCTTTTTTTCGGAGTTTTTAGAATCCTTCATAAGCAAAGGTAGAAATTTCTCCCCGGGACGTAAATCTAGTGCGACAGGGTAATGGGTACTTCATAAGGGGGAGTGCTAGCAAAGGAGGTGCGCGGTAGTTTACTTTAGGACTGAAGGCAAAGATGACGACGAAAATATCTTTATCTCCATGTGGTAACAAGAATCCCAGAAACAGTCAACATCAGTCCCCGGTTACTTGGCTCAGCATATCTTCTCATCACTAAGAGTTCAGCTTGTACTCACAGCGCCGGTGCTCGCAAATAAGATACGACCCGCCAGAAGGGTTAGATATAGAAGAATTCGATGACTGGAATCCGAACACGCGATGCAGGACCGTGATGTGGAAGATCGCAAGTCGCTCAACTCAGTTCTATGTCGTAATAGGGAACTAGTAGAGGAAGTTTCTTTACTGAGATCCCAAAATGCTGAATTGAAAGCTGCAATCTCTAAAACTAGTTGTACTTCTGTCTCTCACCGAACAAATGATCATACGCAACAAACCGTTTGATCTCTGAACTATTCATCTATTCCTTGTGAAGAAATAGAGCGGAAACGCTCGATTGTATTGATAGGAGTTCCTGAGTGCCCTGCTACCTTATCCAGTGATCGGCTAGTGGGCGATATTAATTTTTTGAAGCGCATTTTCAATTTTCTTGACGTCGAGTGCTCTCCGTTAACTGTTTATCGTATGGGACGTCCCAACGTGTCCGTTCCGAGGCTTTTGAAAGTTGTTTTACCTACTGTTTTCTTTGCTAACCAGTTTTTACGTCGTGCGCCACGCCTGAGGCACTTCTCGACTCCTAAAATTTTCATTAGGCCTCCCTAACCCGGGAGGAGAGGAGGAAAGCAAGTGCTGAAAGGCGCGCCTGACGTAACAACTCGTTGTATCTCATAGTGAGCCTATGCATATCAACGCGTCCTCTGAACTTGTTGATGTAACTGATGTAATTGTACACACGGCTGCGTCCAGTGCAAGCATGGGTAACCCTTCAAGCACGTAAAGCCTCGCCGGAACCTGGAACGCCTGGATTAAAATGCCTGTCAGCTAATATACGGTCACTTTATAAAAATGGACATGCTCTTTCTTTCTTAGTTGAACAATACGACTTTGATTTTATTACTCTTTCTGAGACATGGCTTAGTGAGGGCGCTCGGTGGGGGCATTGGCCGCAGTATGAGTTCATCAGATGTGATCGCTCTTCTCGTAAGGGCAGGGGTGTAGGCATCTTTATCAAGCACACCTTACTTACTAGCATCGTTTTCCGCGAAAGTCACCCCATCGTATGAAATTTTGTGCATTGGTTTTTTGACGCCTCTAGCTTATATCCGTCGTATAATTGTATATAGAGCCCCCTCCGCTTCAGCTGTGGCTACTAGTCAATTGCTCAAGGCAATCAGTGACCTCATCTCCTCTAATCGTCACTGCGTTATCACCGGGGATTTCAATTTAGCGGATCTCAATTGGCTGAACCTTGCTGAGAATACTAATTGTTGTGCTGTTTCCCGGTCCTTGGTCGAACTGTGCAGAACACACTTGTCCCAACATGTTAGGGTACCCACTTTAGGTTCCAATATTCTCGACCTGGTATTGACTAATAGTGCAACCTAGTGCATAGTCTGACAGTATCAACCCCCTGGGTACTAGTGACCATAACTGCATCATCTTTGATCTCAATGTGACAGTTCTCAAGGAGTTATTTGTAAGAAGAAGAAGTTTTAAAGGCGTCAATTACGACGTGATAGAAAATACCTAACTGAAATCGACTGGTACGGCTCTCTTAATCCCGTCTGTGCGGTTGACGACAAATATGAACTTTTCATTTCAGTTCTACATCATTGCATTTCCTTATTTGTACCTTTAACCTGCTTTCCCATATCTCGATCTTATCTACCGCCTTACCTCCACCGGCTTCACCTCAAGAGGGCTCAGGCTTGTGCAGCTGCTAATTCTTGTGATAAAGGCGAGCTTCGCTCTGCTTTTCAGAAAATTAATGCTTGGTTCGAGCTTCAACTTTGGAAGTATAAGGCAGCGTTCATAGTTTGCTACAGCAGTGGCAATCGCGGGCGATCGCCGCGATTGCTAGTAGGAGGACCAGCTCGCCCCAAGATGGACGGATTGAAAAACTTGTTGGAAAGGTATTTTCATGTGGTTTTTTCTTTCTCCCGCCCACTAGTACTCGCAGTGAGGAGGGATTTGATTATTAAGTGGGGTGCAGTAAAATAATAGGCTTCTAGATCGAGATATCAGCCCGGTTTGAAATTTCACATAGTTTCATATTTTCTACTTCCGTGCGCAGTGATGTTCGGGAGTGTGGGAGGTGAAAATACCAAGTCTCATGAAGAAATCGTGAATTTTTATGAAGTGGGCGGAGTCAGCAGGCAGGGCCTGGTGGCATACGGAAGGGGGCGTGGCGGCGCACACAGTGGGACGAAGTGCCCCAGGAGAACCTAATGACACACCTTGCCTCAGTACTTAGAGTGGGACGGGGAAGGTTGTGGGAAAGTCTAGAAAAAAACGAAAATTCTGAGAGAACTGGGCGGAGTCGGGGCGGGGCTTGGTGGGACGTGGCTGGGGACCTAATGACACACTAAGGACATGGTGCCCGAGAGCGGACCTAATGACACACCTCACTGATTGAACGGGGGAATTGCCGAAATAGTGGAAGTAGTTCGAGCGGCGCACACAGTGAGACGTGCTCCAAGCGGACCTAATGACACAATTTGCCCGGGTACTAGGGGGGAGCGACGTGGGAGCCGTGGGAAGCCTTGAGAAAAAGTGAAAATTTTGGGAGAAGTGAGCGGAGTCGGAGGCGGGGCTTGGTAGCAGGGGAAGAGGGCATGGCGGCGGAGGCTTATGACACACTGAGTACGTGGTGCCCCAGGCGGACCTAATGACACACCTTACTGAGTGCGGGGAATTCCCTGCAATCGGGGAGGTGAAAGGCGTTATGAAGGAGTGATGAAGTAATGGGGCGGTTTCAGGGAGCGGAGTTAGGGGCGGAGTCGGGCCGAGGTCGGGGGGAGGGTAGGGGGGGAATGAGAGGTGAGGTACGTCGAAGAAGATTAGGCGGAAGAAAGGAAAAACCGCATGAAAATACCTTTCTAACAAGTTTTTCGATACGTCCATCTAGTTGTGGTTGGGGCGAGCTGGTCCTCCTACTGGCGATCGCGGCGATCGCCGCTGTCGTCGCGAACTATGAACGCTGCCTAATAGCGCAGTTGAGAAGAAAACGATTGAATCGCAAGACAAACGTGCGTTTTACACACTGCTCAACTCATGGCTCAATCAGAGGCCCAAACTCGGAAATCTGAGGGGTAGCGATGGCAGTGTTTGCACTAGTGACCGCGACAGAGCTGAGATACTTGCCACTCCCTTTACGAAGTCCTTTGTTAACTGCGGTACAGAGGCTGTAACTGACCTTTCTGATCTCGAAATGTACCCAGAGGTGTCTGACTCTTCAAGGTTCCACTCGTATGATATTTTCTCCCTGCTGTCACCTTGGCCTTCGTCGTTCTCACTCACACCTGATGAATTACCTTTGTTTTTCATCAAAAAAAGTGGCAGGTGAATCGCCGGTCCTCTCCGATACATCTTTAGCCTAAGTATCATGAGATCGGAAGTCCCTACCAGGTGGACGGCCTATGTGACACCGATTCCGAAAAAGGCACCTTATGATTGTCCTGATAGTTGCGGTCCCATTGTATCACTTCTATCTTTGCCAGAACGTTTGAACCTCTTGAAGAAAAGGATTGAAGCTCATCCTGATGAACACTTAGTACTGTTCCCCTTTCAACATGGGTTTCGAAGAGGGAGGTCTACGACTACAGCATTACTTCAGTCACTTAATGACTGGACGACCTCACTGGATCAGGGTGCAAATGTTGATGTCATATATCTGGATTTTTCTAAAGCCTTCGATAGAGTCGATCACCACAAGCTTCTTACTAAACTTTCCCTGGTAGGAGTGCACTCCCGTATCATTGCTTGGATTGGAGCCTTCCTACATGATAGGACAGTCATGGTCCGGGTGAATAATACCTTCTCCACTCTACGTTTGCCGCCTAGTGGAGTCCCACAGGGAGGTGTGCTTTCCCCTGTTTTGTTTAATATCTACACGCTCGAGCTGCGGTCACTTATCACAAAGAGGGGAGTCAAATGCAGTGCTTGCGGACGAAGTTGAATTACACCAAGCAGTAAAAGCTCATGATGATTGTCTTCAGCTGCAGCGCTGCATTGATGTAGTGAATAGATGGTCTAATAAATGGGCCCTGCCGTTGTCCTTACAAGGGAGGTCGTTCAGGCCGTGGTGAGCTTTTAGAACGGTTTGTTGCATGTTGTAGGTTCCATGCGAGGACCATAGCGATGGGGTTCATTTTTGCTAAACGGTTCTGGGAATGTCAAAAAAAGGTCAAAAACAATTCGAAAAGAATGGGCTTTTTGAAACACCTTATTCGCCTCTTTCTAGCTGTAGCGTTGACATTGTATAGTATGTAGTGTATTCTTGACCAGGCATGAAGAACAGCGCAAAATAAGGTCAAAATCCAAATGGTCTACTTGGCATGCGGTGAGCTGCATTGTAGTTTTCCGGTCACCTGCGCATATCTCTTCAACAGTTCCTGTATCTCTAGCGTCGCAGTGGGAGATGGTGTGGTGGATAGTGCGACGCTCTCGGTCGATGGGTTCATGGATCGGATCCCTTTGCCGATACGTTTTTTTTTGCATTTTTCACATTTCTTGCTTCTTGTATTCCTGTATGCCCCGTAATGTGTATGACCCGGATATACGCCATTCGAAGGCACATTCCATGCTGGAACGGTTCACAAATAGGCATCACTCAATTACTACGCTCGCGAAACACTATCGAAAAAAACTCTTCATGCAACTTGGGTTACGCGGTTATCCGATGCTCTGTTCATGAACACGACACTCGTTTTTGTATATGGCGCAATGTGTCTCTAATTTGGTGCAAAGGCTTTCTCGTACTACCATCATTGTCAGTCTGCGCGGCGGGGCTATTTAGCGCCATACTGGCCCAAGATGGCCTCCGCAGCAAAAATAAGTATCTGAACGTGATCAGGACCATCATTTCCCCCTACGTGTAGAGTTAGCCGAGAAAAATTTTCCCGAGCTTTTTGTGTTATGATGCCTGCCATGTCTCCAGCTAGTGGCCTTCAGCCCCCCCCTCCAAGGAGTCGTTATCCAACATCGTTAAGGGGAAGCTTTTCATTTGCTAGTATGCAGACGCAGAATTAAAAACTACACAAAAAAAGTGACGCACATACACTGCACTCCTCTCATACCTTTGATATGAGAAACAAAAACCTTTCTCCGGGCAAGTGGTAACGAGTTCTTTGTCGAAAGCATAGACGATAAAAGCGAAGAAAGATCCAGGATGCTCGTTTAGTGGCTCCGAAGCTAGCACGATGTTCTATGAGGACCTACTGAAGTTGAGGGGCAAGAAATGAAAAATTTCAGGCGGTTCGTCTGCTAGAGAGGATACTTAACGGAGGGTTCGCCTGTCACTGCCATCCAAATGGTCAGGTCCAGGACCACTAAAGAAACTCGAAAAAAATTTTTTTGCTAAAACTTCTTAAACAGCGGTAATCAATGGCCCTGATCACGATTCTGACAATTATTTATGGCGCCGACGTGATCTGGGGCCAGCGTGGCGCTAAAAGGCCACTACCAGCGCGAAGGGATGCTGCATAAGCCCCTAAAGAAATTGCAGTGTACCTCACTGTATGCCAAGTAAGGCGCTTGTATTTCGACCTTATTCAATGCTCCAATGTTTTTTTATGTCTAGTTAAGAAACACTATATAAACTCTATGTATTCTGCTTTACAGCTGAAACAGATGCGAATGAGATGATAAAACTTGCGTATTTTGAGCGATTTGTTTTTATTCCTTTTTTGACATTCCCAATAGCGTTTAGCAAAAATGAAACCCATCTGTGTGGTCCTTGTATGGACCCCTACAACATGCAACAAATCGTTCTGAAAAAGCTCACCACGGCCTGAACAACCTCCCTTGTTAGAAAAGACTACAGTGTTGCATCTGAGTTCAAAAAACAGGCAGTTCCCCAATGTGATTGAAGGCACTCCTATCAGGAAAGTGGAGCACCAGAGGGATTTAGGCTTCATAGTGACCAAGAATCTCAGCTCTGACGCGCACGGTGAGCTTACTGCTAGTAAAGCCAACTCGGTGGTGTATAGATTGTTCAAGGTTCTTACGACAAAGAATTTCACAGTGTTGTTGCTGGCTTTCAAAACTTATATCAGACCTCTGCTAGAGTACGGCACACCCGTTTTCAACCCTTAGAAAACGAAAATGATTTGGTTGCTCGAAAAAGTCCAGAATTCCTTTACAAGGAAGTTGATAATAAGAATGTTAGGCTTTCTCTATGAAGGTATACCCTCTAGCATGGAAAGGAATAGAAATTTCAAGCTGCACCCTCTGGCCTTCAGGAGAAGAACTGACTTGGTTCTTTTTCACAAGATCCTTCAAGGCAAATGTGGTCTTGATGCGAACAAGTTCTGTGGATTGCGGCCATCGGTGACCAGGGGCAGCCCTCTCAAACGTATACTGCCTCGCGCTAAGCACAATTTCAGATTGCATTTCTTCACTATTAGGGCTGGCTGATTACTTAACATGGAGAAAAATAGATCGTTTCCCCATAACTTTAAGGTTTTCAAGGACATGGTCGAGCGTTACTTGGTTCCGTAGAGACCTGACTGTTTTTCCTTTTCTTTGTTTGCTTTCTTTCTGTTGGGCTATTTTTTTTCTACAATGTCATTTTATTTCATTTTCTTCTTCCGGCGTTCACTACGTTAGTTTACCTAGGATCTATTGCATTCAATATGTTTGACGTTTCTGTACACCCACATGAGTCACATCATGTAATGAATATATAGAAACACGAATGGTAGAGCAAGCGAGTGGATGCAATAGGATAACTGTTCCACATAGGTGCATTTAAAGTATGTACAAGTCCCAGAAAATACGTTTTATATTGTAGCACAGACATTCGTGTGGCGTCCTAAACAACTTTGAGTGTGACCGGAATTTTCATTTAGATTCGAGGACAAACCGAGCGTTAAGGCTAACAACGTGGATAAAGAAGTGTCGAACTTCTCATGTATCGTGAGCCTCCGCGAAGATAACGCTTCCTAGTGCAATGACCGCGACGCGGCCGATTGCTGTCCGAAAATGTTCGTTTGGAATTTAAGTTCTTCTGCCTTGGACGACTTTGTCGGACGTCATGTCGGCGAAATCGCTTTAAGACATTCTAGGCAACGCTATGTACCTACGGAATTTCGCTTACCAGACGTGCTCTCGCTCCAGGGTTATTTTCACGAGGCATACTTCCAGCAGTTGCAGGGCAAAGGTAAATGAGGAGGGATCAGAGAAGGAAGGAAGGAAAAGAAGTAGGGGAGAAGAAAAAAGGAAAGAGAGGAGAGGCTTCTCGGTTGACAAGTGCCCTGAGACGCTTGCAGAGTTACAGTATGCAGTTGCACCGGTTGCAAAACTCTCGCGTCTCTGACATCGTCATCTCGCCCTTCAGAGTGTCAAAAGCCGTATATTCTCTGCGAGTGAGGACAATGATGCTAAATTCGCCGAGACATTTCTCTAACCACTTGATCGCGAGAAGTGTCTTCAAACAATTCTGTGGTTTTACCTCCTAAGTGTTTTACCAACATTTCTGACCGTCACCGAAAGGTCCATACTCATCCCAGCTCTGAAGACGGAAGCAATGGTCACACTCCTTTACAATGTTTCAAGATTTGTAATAAAACTGATTTCAGGCAGTGCAGTATTCGACAACGTTTTTAGCGGAGCCTCAATTGTCCGATGAGCAAGGGGTTACCAACAGGACTTTTTTCTCTTCACTGTCACTCAGGTGAGTTGCAAATGGTGAACCTGTTTTCCTGGAAAACTTCAAAATGCTCCCCCAGAAATTTAGAATATTGGAAACCTCAGTGAAGGTTTACAGCTCAAAAGCAGCGTTGGTTGACCCTGTGCGTCAGGGTCTGCATAGTTACGTTCGCTGCAAAGGCTCTTTGTGCTATTTGCGACCCGACTTCCTGCCTCATGAATAGGTGACCAATATCGACGTCAGTGACAAGCCATCTGAGGAGGAACTCCGCCATAAAAAAATTGAAGGTCTCGAGGGTAGTAGTAGCGATACAGGAGCGTCACAGTGACGTAACCCACAGATGTTTCGCCCATTCAAACATACGGGGAAAGGTACGCGCATCGGAACTGCACCCGTCTGGCCAAGGCGGGCTGTTCACAGCGGCGACATGTGCGGGATACGGCCCGGCTTCCGCCCGGAGGCGCCCCCCCCCGTCTTCCTTATTTTTCCATAATCAACTGAATACCGGCTCTTCTCTTATTTGTACACATGGCCAACGCTGCCTAACTAATATGTGCTACTTTCAACAACACCACTGATATAAAATGGTTGTGAATAACGTTGATCAAGTGGACAGAAAAGAAAAATCAGATCAGAGATCAGAGAAAAGCCAGGTTTTAGTTCAATAGTCGAACATTTAAAAGAAAAAATGCGCAGCGAAGTCATCCCGTCCTGCGAAGCCGGGCCTTATCACATAAGAAGGCACGACGGGGTCAGACGGTATCTGGTGCCGACTGGTATAAAATGTGCCTTTGGCGACTGTTGGTTAAGAGTATGGTTAGCTAGCCACTGGAAGTCAGTCTAAAAAAAGAACTTCATACTCGAGAGCACGCTAAGTCCTTTGTGAGCGGGTCTTGACCAGGGTCAAGCATACATCGCGGAATCCGCGACGGAGGGGTCGTTATTGGCTCCTTCGGGAGGGGGTCGTATTTGTCAAGATCAGTACTTAATACAGCAGGGATTAGCTCAGGATAAGTGATGCGTTCAGAAAGGAAGTCGAGTACGTGGCGCACTCCATGAGGGTGTTGCTCAGTATTTCTGTCAAAAATTCTCCGCATCATTTTTGTGGCTTTCCGCAACGGGCAAGTTTCCGCTGTAATTGAGCTACAGCAAAGCTGTCGCGCTCATTCAAAAGATAAACCCTCAGGTTTTCAATGCCGTGTGAAGCTCACTTCCAAGTTGTATCTGAACGAAGTTTTCCCATTGAAACGTGGAAAAATCGCGTTTGTTCGAAAATTTCCGCGTTTTCTGTTTTATCATTGTATAGAGCATGGCTATACAACTCGAACCTTCCTCACCGCTCTGCGGAAGGTGGTTTCTCAATGGAGTTATACCCTTTTGAAGACTAATTTGTGTGAGAGGTTAATCCTTCTGTGCCTCACGAGGTTGCTAGGTGGAAGCTTTATTCGCTTCGTCTGTTTGTTTGTTTGTAAGTTTGTTTGTCTGTCCGGAAATTCGGTTCGACCTGAAGAAAGACTTGGAGAGGTCGGGTCAAGGTGGGGATGGGTAGGGAATGGGAAAAGAAATAAAAAGTACACTTGATCTAGGGGAAACCCCGCCCACAGTGGGCGGGGCACTCGCCGAAAGTTTGGGGTTCCGAAGAAAAAGGTTCATAATTCGCTTCCGGAGCAGTTTGAAGATGGGGGAAAGAAGGGAATAAGGTCAGTAAGGAGTCGCCAGACTAACTGTGGCAGAAAATAAGTGGGGCGTACTCAAGGTAGGCGGTGCTTCTCGCAAAATAAGTAACCCGGTTCGCGAGAGTGTTTGGAAGTCGCAAAAACTCAGTGTAGAATGTGAATATCTGGCGAATATAGGGCACGCTCAAAACGTGTTGAGACTCGCCCTAGGCGGAGCTTGCCCTAAATCGCAGGGCATTCATTTTAAAAGTTTGTAGCTCGGTTCCAGATCACTCCATACACCGGAAAAAACGGACTAATGTCAGCAGAGGGTCGCCTGTGAGGATTGTAGGGCAAAACATTGTGGGCGGAGCCTGTTCCGAGGTGGGCGGAGTCAGACGAAGAATCTGTACAATAGCTCAAGAGTACTTCAGACACCGGAAAAAAGTGGAGTACAGAACAAAAGGCGAATATCAGTTGGGTCCAGAAATATGTGGAAGAAAATACGCGCGGCTAAGCCGCGCCCGGCCGGCGCAGCCGGCCCGTATCAGAAGGAGGCGCGCCGGCGTTAGCCGGCGAGCTGATTGGTTAGTAAATAAGGGCTGATGCTTCGACTAGTTCCTCGTCTTCAAAGGCCTTTGTTCTCTTTTTTTTCGTTACCAAGGTTTCGAGGTCCAGGTTTACGACCTACCCCCACCAAGCGCCTCGTCAGCTCTAGCGGTTCCGAAATCGCGTCAGGAACCCCTTGAGTAGACGGCAATAATGTGAATCCAAGCTTACCTACGGCTCCACCGTTTGCGCGGCAGGAGTCCGCAGACACGATTTCGGAACCGCTGGAGCTGAGGAGGCGCTTGATGGGGTAGGTCGTAAACGTAGCTCTTGAAACATGTTCAGACCTCTGAAGACGACGAACCAGTCGAAACGTTAGGCCTTATTCACTAATAAAGGTTCCACCTAGCAACCTCGTGAGGCACAAAAAAAATTAATCACTCACATTTACCATGCCGAGCTTGCAAGAAGAGAGAAGCTAAAGAGAGGGGAACTAATCTGTGTGTACAACAGGACAGTAGTGTTCCAATCTCATCACGTGACGCAGCCACTGTAGCTCAATGCCTCGCCTTTGTGTTGTTTCGTTAAGATGACGTCATTGCGGGATTTCTTTAAAGTTCTACTATGTGCATTACACTACCTCTTAGGAACTAATCTCTTCAGTTTCAGTGCCTCTGCTCGTTTGACATGGTAAATGTTCCTAGATACTCCGATACTTAGTTGGCGAAATTCGTATAACACAACATATACAGCTACTTCTCGGTAAACACAGCAGATACCTTTACATACTCCATAGTCACTAAGGGAGGGGTTGTACGGACATCCCTTTCTAGAGGGGGGGGGGAGCACTAATCCCCCGATTTTCCGCGTTGTGATGCTTGACCCTGGTCTCAACACACCACAGGGACTTTCGCGTGATGTTCTTCGTCTCCAACGCCAACGATCTTCAAGATATTATAGAACCTAGTTATAAATTTTGTAGCAAGCCCGCCCATTTTGAGGATGTTTTCCCCCATTTCGTCAGCTAACTCTTCTTGACCTCAATTTCACTTTCTCCCGTGTCCAAACTGTTCTAGAACTAATAACTGAATTTTCACTTGCAACGCGATCCTCAACATATGCTTCGTCTACAGAAGCCTTGTCTCTCTGATCTCGATAGCCAATCTCCTGCACACCTTATTCATTTTCTCCGGTCCCTAGGGTGCTCCGGGAATGGTTTACGAATTTGACTTCTGCCTCCCACTCAGTGTATGCCTCCCTCTTCCCAACTGCTGACCGCGTGTTAGCTTTTTCCAGTTGTCTGGGGTGCTCTGCAAACATTTTACAAACTTTTGAATTTGGCTCAGCCCACTACGTGTGTGGCTAAAAGGATATGCTTCTCAGAAATGAAATGAAATGCATGAAGTGCTTCGAGGAATAGTGAATCTGTTTTTTGGTTTGAAAAATCGTGAATTTGGCTTGGAGGATCACGAACGAACATGTAATGGGCGAAGTACAGTATGTGGTGGAATGGAAAAAGGTGGCTACATACTAGGAGATGCAGTCGCGCTCAAAGGTATCCGGCCAAATGGTTTTTTGCGTATAACCTTTTTTTCCAAATCCAACTAATTCCTTTCGATTCCATATTTCATGCCCAACAATGCTGC